ATACTTTCTATTCTTGATATTTTCACTTTATTTGTTTATTGCCTTCAGCAGCCATGGAAAAGAAAATGCATGTAATTATTGCCGATCCACGCCATTTTACCTGTAAACAAAATGAGTGTTCTTTACTTTCTGAGATTTGTAAAGGCGTTTAAGGGAATTTCGCGGAGACAAGTAAATAAGTGTCATCTTTAGAAGGAAAATATCTTAATGATTTTTTTTTTGGTTTGAAGAAACTGATGGTAGAACTGTATTGTGGATATAGATGATTGAGGAAACCATTTCGCCTGTCAAATTGTTTGCTTGAAAAGTAAAATACACGAAATGAGTATTTTGCAAGAGTGCCAAATCTTGTATTTCATAAATTTATCTATCTAAAAGTATTTAATATGCATCTTTTGATATCATGAAAGTTTTTTTTTCGCTATATCTCGAAAATGGGGGGGGGGGGGATCCCATGCTCCCTCTAAATCCGCGAGTGGTAGACGATCTTTTATGAAAATGTCTCTCACAGCAACTTTTTTTAAAGGCTCTGCACTTCGGCTTTTGTCAACGAATTTCCATCTTAATATGATATAACACATACTGTACATGTAAAAAAAAAAAAAAAAAAAAAAAAAAAAAAAAAAAGGGAAGATAACGAACAGTGATCCATCTAAAAAAAAAGTCTACAAACAATAAAATTTGTAAACAGGACATAAAACACAGACCCCCGGAAATAACAGAGGTGGAATTAGGTGCCTAGGAGGAGTAAGCATCCCCATCGATCGGTCACACCCTATCCCTATGTAATGATCAGGTTGACGGTAAACATGGTAAATTCAGTATGAAAACAAAGACCTAACAATTGGCATGAAACACGTCAGCCAAAATACGACCCAGTGATAGGTTATATTTGCTAACAAGGTCATTTTGACGACCACAAATTTTACGAAATGATGACTTTAAACCATAGCCATTATTCTTATTTTTAAAAAAAATTAGGCCTAACCCCATACCTAATTATTTACAATGTACATATCGCCGCCCTCTTGAATTTTTCTAAATCAGTCACATTGTTTTGTTTTTTTGTTTGTTTGTTTTTGTCTTTTTTTGTCTGAAACTCTGTTAAATTATTTCCCTGCAACCATAATCATACTGTGTTCAGCCTTTAGGAGAGGTTTACATCCATACGCTAATGGGAAGGTTTTTTCACAATGCTTGGAATTGCAGCTCTCTTGATTGTTTGTCCGAATTTTATAAACCAGAGAGTTACAGTTTTGCAGCTACGACAATGTATACATGTACATGTAACAGATTACCTTTCTATTTTTTGCATTGATATCGGAATATTTACATTTGCATATATGGCGCAATATAACCGAATCATATGGCGCAATATCTTGCCTACATATAATTTCTATCCAGGTAGAACTTGAGCTTCGGAACTTCTAAGCCAAACTTGATGACAGAAACATACGGATTGTTTTCAGTCAACAGATGCCCATTAAATATTCCTTCAGTATAAAAGTTGTTTGAATAATAACATTATTAAGTCACCGAAATTCGCGCTTTCTTTTTAACACGAAATTATGTATATAAACTGAAACAGACGTTTCTCGCTGAAATACCAACCGCTTTCGACCCTTCATAAAATACAACATGCAGTAAGATTATCCTTAATAATGATCATTTAAGATACAAGTAGATAAAATACCATCATCATTTAAAATACAAGTAGATAAAATACCATCATCACTTAAATATATGTAGATGAAATACCATCATCACTTAAATACATGTAGATAAAATACTATCATCACTTAAATACATGTAGATAAAATACTATCATCACTTCAATACATGTAAATAAAATACTATCATCACTTAAATACAAGTAGATAAAATACTATCATCACTTCAATACATGTAGATAAAATACTATCATCACTCAAATACATGTAGATAATATACTATCATCACTCAAATACAAGTAGATAAAATACTATCATCACTTAAATACATGCAGAAAAAATGCCGTTATCACTTAAATACATGTAGATAAAATACTATCATCACTTAAATACATCTAGATAAAATACTATCATCACTTAAATATATGTAGATATAAAATACTATCATCACTTAAATACATGTAGATATAAAATACTATCATCACTTTTCCAGAATTTGATTGCTAACATCAATGTAGACATTCAATTGATGGAGCTAGACGAACTTTCTTAACCTAATATTCAGCAGTATTCTAATGTTATAGGCATATATATATATATATATATATATATATATATATATATATATATATATATATATATATATATATATATATATATATATATATACCACTTATATACAGTAAAGAATTAGAGACCTCTTAGACTAGTTATTTCTCATTAATAATGAGTGGGTTAGTTATATGAATAAGAAGATGGGTGAACAAGGCGGGCGAAGTGCCTATAGTGCGACAAACATGAAGTGAAAAATAAAATCTCAATTATATCCAAAATTTCTTTGATATTTCATCTAAAATTAAAGTATACTTCATGTAAAATCTCTATAATTTACAAAAATCTCACAAAGACTGAAATTATTTGCCTACGAAATAGCATACACACACTAAAGAGGACAAAAAGGGTCATTTTCTCACACTTTAACAAAATTTTTCGATATGAGTGTGTCTTCTCTCCATTTTTTTGAAAGTTAATCCTAAAAGTTTGCATAAAAATATGTATTTTTTGGTTTACAAAAAAATGGAGCAAAGACCCACTATACATTAAAAGTACACTTCTATGACAAAGCATTCGCAGTCCATTAAGTCAAGTGTCAATTCACAAACATGATTTAAATGTCACTATTCATCAGGAGCTGAGTAGCGTAGTGGGTAGCGTGTTAGTCTCAAAGCAAAATACTCCGGGTTTTTATTGTTAGGGGTTCTAATCCCATGAGTACCATTTTATTTTTGTAATAAAAGAATAATTTTTCCGAGATTTTTTTTTCTCAGAAAAGTTTTGATTATCATAATTTCATAAATTTCAACAACGAGAACTTTCCTTTAAATACTTAATTCACAATTTGAATATGATTTTTTTTTATATCTGAAGCTATAGGCATTCTGCACGCCTTGTTCACCCATCTTCTTTCTTTTTTTAATTTATGTGATTTCGTGTACATTTCTAAACCCAAAAAATATACATCGAAGTCACTGTGGATTCTCATCATTAAAAACTATCAGGTAAATTCAATTTAAGAATTTTAAACAAGCTCTACAGTTATTGTAAGTTTCTCGACGAAATACTGGCACAGAAAGATGTATTTTTCGCAAGAAACTCTGCATAAAGGTTATTAATCTGAAAAAAAGTGCTGTACAAAAATGTAAAATACGCATACTCTACAGACTTAATGAACGAGAAATTCTTTGATTTGATTTGAACTTTTGACTCCTTTGGTTCAAATGCTTCCGCGAACACCGCCAGATTACTCCATCTCCTTGTACTGCATTTAGACAAGAGTTAATGTTCCTCGTACAGATAAAAGTTCGGTAAGGCCACGGTTACCCGTCATAACGTCAATCAAGGTTTAAAACTCTACAGACGTTTATCAGATTTGTACACAATGACCAGGAAATTCTGTGTAATACAAACTCTATTTTTCTCCTTTCCACATCGTCTGATCAGTTTCTCGAATAATCGGAATTTTTTGCAAATGAACTAGAGAAGGTTGTAATTTTCTAAATTAAATGGTAAAGTTCGTTTCAAATATTTCACGAGAACAAAATGTGCAGCAATGCATGTGAAGATGAAAAACCGGATAATTTGTTTCTACTGGAGGCATTGCTAGATTACATTATATAACATTCAAAAAAGTCCGAGAGAAAGTTTGCCTGTGATGAGCCTTAATTGACAAGATGGGTCTGGCGCTCTGCATTAACCTCCATGGTTCGTGGGAACTCGAATCCATGGATTGTCAGCGGGCTACTGTTACAATTGCTCAGCCACTCACGAGTAAAAACAGAAGGTATTTTATTTTTTCCTCCATTTTTTATGAAACTCAAGCACTGTTTCATGCAGCAAAAAAGTGTACCACAACCCGTGATCCAGACAGAGTAAGCTCCGCTTTATTAGAGATCAACTGAGGTTCCAATCATTAACAAGGTCACTAACCTATCAGGTGCAAGGTTACATCTCAGATGATATTTTCGGCCAATCGCAAAATGGTTTTAACAGTCTTTATATGGTGATATCGACATTTCAACCTCCCCCCCCCCCCCTCTCCCTTGCAGATAGTACTTTTTCCCTTTCTTTTCATTTTATTTTTAACTTTTTGATCAGCAAATGTTGAAAACAAAAATATTTATATGTTATATTTTAAATACTGAATTGAAATGAAATAAGTTTAGTCAGATTTGCATTTCAAATGCTCTTAAACACAAAATAATTGGAATCCCCCCCACTCTATCCTAAAGATGTATAAAATTATACATTTGAATCATTTAAAAATTTTCAAAAATTTAATTGACGCATACTTGTAAATGAAATAGTTTGGCAATTTAAATGGTTTATAACTAGTGAAAACGGATTAGGGGAATTCCGTTCGTCATTATTTTATAATTGTCGGAAATATTTCTTATATTTATTCTTAGATCTGTTTTATCAGCTTATAAGGAGTTGAGAAAACAAAATGTGTCCTTATTTTGACCCAGTACCTTGAGGACAACTTATCGCTTTGATATGAACTATACAGATATGGCACTTAATATAATCACATCGCATTGCAAGTGTATACGGTGACATAACAAGGACATGTTATTTAAATTACAGCATTAAAAAAAAAATTATTTTGGTGTAGTGGATTTGGATTTTTTTTTTTTTTAAGTCCTGTGACGTAGCTTACACACAAGAGAATTGTGAATGAGTGACAGCTACTATTTCAGCCCCGTCAAATCCAATGGAGCGATCAGTTCGGCCTATCGTACGCGTGTAAACGGGTGATCCATTCAAAAGATCGGGGAAATTTAATTTTTGTACTGGGGATATGTTCCACCTTACTCATTATTTAGTCTGACGACTTTAATTCTTAAATTTTGTATTTATTTATTAACTGGAATTTGATATAAGACTAGTTACATTACAATGAAGCTGTGGTTTATTGCGTTAGTGATCATTTCTATTACACAGGTAAGAAAACTTTTATCTTCAAATGAATATACACCTGTAAAAAGGAAGCAAATTGTATTATTTGATGATGTATTTAATTATTTGATGATTTATATTATTATTTCGTGATTTATTTTATTGATAATGTACCATACTTTCATTCTTTACAACAATATTGTAAAGTTTTCATTATATATGAATATTCATCACTTTTGCTGATATTTAAAAGGTTAGAGTTTTAGACAAGTAGAACTTATAGAAATACAAGTTTCTGACAAATTGTAAGGAATTAGACAGTTTTTTAAAACTGAAGTTCGTGTAATTTTGAAAGAAAAGAAAACAATACTTTTATAAATTTGATTCTGAATATGGATATTAAGAAAAACTTCCGCATCACTTCGGAAAATTAATTAACCAATACTTGACTTTGATATCGCAGAACTACATTAATCGGCTAATGGTCTGAGATCTTGACATGAAATGGTGTCACTAGAGACGACTCATCTTTGATCCATGACAGGGAATTTCTCGTAAATTGTTAAAGAAAAAATTGATATTGCGTTTTTATAACGGTGACATTTGATGTATCTCGATGCTGACTTTGTGAAAACATTTTTCCGGGTTCCTTGAGTATAGACTTGGGCTTGCTGGTATAGTATATTGCGGTGGCTAGGTGATCAGCGCTGTATATATTTTCTAATGTGTCGGTCATGTAAGGAGATAATTTATTCTTAATTTATGGTAACGAACGTTGAGCTAACACTTTAGTCTCTGTTATAAATACTGTTAATGTTTACCTGTCATGAGCTCTCTGATATGTCTTTGTACTACGCTAATTTCGCGACAATTGTAACAGGAATAGGTCAAAAGAGTACTATCAAATTGATGCCACCGTTTTTCTCCATTTTTCCCAATCCAAATGTTTTATCTCCGTTATCTAACAAATAATAACGTCTGCTTACTGAGAACTCATTAATAATTAACAGAGACCCCCTTGTCATTTGATCGACCCGATATGTATGTCTTGTTGGATTTATGTCTATACTTTAATTTTATTTGGGTTATCTGCCTCATTTATTGTCGTGATAATTGAAGAATACATCTTGCTATGCCGGGATTTATGGATAAAAATGCGACATCTCTACGGATACAAGTCTTGGACTGTTCCGTCTTAATTTGATTTTATGACTAGAATTTCTTGTGCAACATCCAGAAATTTGATTGTGACATAATACTCCTTTGGTTAACACAAACTATGCACTGTACACAAGTTTTTTCTACTGGTTTTAAATCAATTTAGAATTTTTTATGATCAATTTTATTTAATTGTATTATCTCATTAATGTAGTTTAAGGTCTATTTAAATATCGATCATTTCAAAACATGTCAATAACTATTTCCTTAAAAAGTAGTTCAAATATTCATTTTGATGAATCTTTAAAGTTAATTGAAAAAAAAGTTTTGTGCAAGTTTGCGTAATTATTAAATTTCAGTGCTTGAACTGATGGAAGCTCACGATACCTGCATATGCACCGTGGCTTCGTGTGATCTTATGCTATCACACACATAACATTAGCTACCATATGCTAAATGTTATGTACTCACATGACCTTCTATTAGCCTGCCATCGAGGACACTGAGAGCTTTTCTGATGATGAAAACGGAGACCTGCAGCCTTATACTCACTTTTATCAAAACAACTAAGATTTCGCTTTAGAAAGCCACGTGTTCCCTCTGAGTTTATGATGCAACTTCCGGTTGAACTGTATGTCCCGTAGATTGCCTAGAATTTGTTAGTTTCATACCATGATGCTCCGCTTTCCTGCTTTTGTATTTTAATACAATGACTGAGCTTATGAACACCTTTTGATATGGATTTGACATTTCCTCAAAATACCAGGCTATTATTTACACCTATAAAAATAATGCAAATGCAATTGCAGTTTTCGAAATGGGATTTAAGAAAAACTCATAAAGTTAATCATGGGAATAATACCATGGAACTTTCATTTTAGTTGACATTTGTCAAGCCATTCAAACTATATGAGGTACAGACATAGGCGATTTGGATTTTTTTAACCATTGCAATGTTGCAAGATCGCCGAAACCTGCGAAAGGCAAGATCTAAAACGTCCAAAATCAGATATATATACGATTTATGATATTAGTGGTCAAAAATTATAATGCTCCATTTGAGTTCATATATATATGTAAACAAAAACTGTACCGATTTCATAAGTCTTTCTATTGAACTTTTTTCCCTTGGGTTGGTCTGCACATTGCGGTGACTCATTGCCTTTGATAAATATATACCTTTGCCGTTTTTCGTCTCGTCTACTTGCAATAAATTACTAACACCTCCAGTTGTAACCTGGCAGTTATGCAATTTTCATTTTACCTGTAGACAGCCCTGTAAAACAGATGGGACAAACTTTTCTGCGACTTGATAAGTCATGTCTACACTACCCTACATAGGCACTATTTTATGTGCAGATTCCGTTTCTGTTGTGCACCATAAATAAGCGGAATCTTTGAAATACGCAAGCTCATTGGAGAAAATCGTCCCTGAATCTACACCGAATACTCCCAAACCTACGGTGGTGCAAAGCGCTATAATTATAACTTAATAGGAACAAAATGAGAAAAATAAATGTCTGTTTTGTCAAATTATAGTTTATGATGTCCTAAATTAGGAAAGTTAAGTCTTCCATAACTGTCTCATGCGCCAGTTGAATATCAATTAATGCATGCCCTATATTGCAACATTTATATGTAAGACAACGCCTCTTAGCCAGTTATTAAGATGATATCAATTATTGGTATCAAACGGACTTTTTTCCCCAATGTAAATGCTTTGTAAAAACGTATATTTGAAGTAACGTGTCGTAATAATTTGATGAGTTGGTATTATCAGTTGATAAATCCGGGGGGTTAAACATGCACGAATTTGCCATATTGACATTTGACGCACTTCAGATCACAGCAAGGGTGATAATAATGAGGTATAGTGTAAAGTAATGGGGTCAACGTCTGGACTAAGGTCACTGTCAATTACTCTGGGTAGACTGAAGTCTCATGTACTATTGCTATTCTGTAACATCTTTTAGATGGTCTATCAAAGAGCTTGAGTATTCTAGGGTAATATACATCGATCTAAAAGAAAAGAATGTACAGACACAAATAAACCAAGTCCATAGTTTACATTGTTAAAGAGACTCGGAAAAAAAACGGGAAAAAATTAACAAAAGTAGATTTTTTCCATGGTCCTTGCAAATTTTGTCAATTCTTGTAGGCATTAGGTTTCGTAAAATTACAGGTTTCAGAAGCTAAAAAATCTATCAAAACTTCGCTATACATATATTTTTTTTATAAATTAAATCTTTTAAATTATGATACAAGTATCATAAAAACCTGATTTTTTCTCTCATTATGAATAAATACACAGTGTGGTTTGATCGAAGAGAGAGAGAGAGAGAGAGAAAATGAGAGGAAGAGAGGCAAGGAAATGGCCTGATGTTCTGAATCACAATTAGGTCATGACCTTTGGTGAGAGCTAATTTGGAGTATTTTAGCCAGCCTAAGACACGTCATGTCCTGTACATTACGTTCTTTGGTGACAGATTGATATATGGACTGTTAAAAGATGACATTCTTGACAGACTCATGTCGTAATGATAATGAAGATGTGATAAAGTGTCCGATCAAAGTCTGGGGCGATGTATTGAGAACAAGGTCAAATGTCAAGGTCGAGACTTGCTTTGTTCTTATATGGAGTTCTTTTTGGAGATGGACCACAATGTACTTAATATGGAATATGTGCTATGTGGAAAATTGCATAGACAAACATAACTCGAATATTCTTTGCATATTATCAGTTCAATGGAAAACAAAGTTCTTAATTTAGAATTGTTATATATTTACTTTGACAGTTGGTATTAAACATATTTGTTTGTTGATAATCAACAGACAAAATACAATAAAATTGTTTTTATAGCAAAACAGGGGAGAAAGCATACATTAGTACATAACATAACCAATACCTATGGGGACTCCATAAAATATTAGGTATAATTATCCTATACTTGAAAAGACTCTTTACTAAAAATGGCCTAGTTTTCTTGAATGACGCATAACCTTAAAAGAATATTGTCCATGAATTCATACAAAGTTTTCGTTTTGTGACCCACATTATACAGTATTCAACAGATCTATTCTTTGTCCTGTTCGGGACAGGAAGACCTAATTCCCCGGTGTTTGAGGACAACAGATAAACGAAGATTATCTATCAAAAATTGGATCAAACCGTAAAAATGTCAAATGAACTTTTAAGCCTCATCTACATGACAAGAGGATATGTACTTGTTCTTCCTCAAATACTGCACAAACATGTTTTAATATCTAATGCCTAGGATTGCTAAAATCCTCTTATTCTTATGGTCAGCAAGAATCTCCCTTTGCATTGCTAGCAAAAAAAAAGTTCCTTGCAAGGTTAATACTTCAGGAAAAGTCAAATATGCTTACCACCTATCATGATTTGTATTATTAGCATTTCGTATAATCCTACTATTAAGTGATCTTTAGGGATGGTACAGGGGAAACGTTATAAGTAGTTCTTTCGAAATGGTTGTAAAACGGGAGAAATTTTATTTTGTGTACATGGAATTGGACGTGGGTGGATTTTCATTTTTGAGTTGCACAATTTGTTTTAATAAATAACACTTCTTATTACACAGAATTAGTATTTTGTGCTTTAGCTCAAATTTCTAAAACATTTTGATCATTGTATTAACTCTTTGCAGAACATATCCGCCGAATCCTGATATTCGAAGGAAAAAATTATTTTGTCTGTAAGTGAGGATCTGTTTGACAAATATCAACATAACGCTGTTTGTACAGGTATACATTATTTGACAAAAGTCTGGTGTGTTTAATACCCGTCAATATAGACGGTGGGTCGTTCCGCCATAGGATCCTTCAGTTAGCTTTCAATTCTATCAACGTTCAATCGTTTACATGAAAGA